CCACCCGCGGCCGCGACCGCCCTCCGGCAGCTTCTTACCGCGTTCCCCGTGGCCGCGCCCGCCTCCCCCTGCTCCCCGGCCCTTCGCGGAGACCGCCTCCGAGCCGGGGAGCTGGAGAGGAGCCCCTGCCTCCCGCTCTCTCCCGGCTACGGAGCTTCCCTCGCCCAGCCGCAGCGAGGAGGCACCCTCCCTCCGCAGCCCCATTACCCACAGGGCTCCGCTCAGCAGCGCGGCGCACGGGCCACTTCCGGCGCGACCATTTTGTTTTTCACCGCTCGCCAAGGGTACCCGCGTCCCGCCGGCGGTAGGGTGGTACTCGGCTTGTCAGCATGTTCCCGGTGGCGAGGGCTGCTCTGAACCTCACCGGTAAGCAAGGAGGAGGCTCTCTGGAGTATGGAAGTGCTGGGGGTGTTTGGCGGGAGCGGGCGGTTTCGTCAGGGGGCCTCCCCCCGGTTTCTTGCCTTCCCTGGGAGGCCTGTCCCTGGGCTCGCTTCGCCCCCGGGGAGGGTCGTGAGGGCAGCTGTCTCGTCGTCCTTCCTCTGCTGCCTTTTTTTCTTGCTTTTTTTGCTTCTTTTACCTCCTAGTTGCTTTTACTTGAGCTGACCTTGGGTTGCCTTTCTCGGTGCTTTTTCTCCTTGATGGTAACTAAAGGCACATCCAGGTTTTGTAACCTGAGGTGGCAAGGTGTAGTCAATGACCAACCCTTAAACTCGAGGGTAAAGTTATCTCTTCTGGGATGGACTCCCCAGTGCTTAACCCAGTCCTCTCAAATCTGATCCTGGTTCATGATGTGCTTAGCCCGAGGTGCATGCACCTAAAATAAACGTGCTTAGCAGTGTTTCTCTCGGTAGATGTTCAAGCTTCTTTTTTCTGTTTAAAAGAAAACCAAACTTGTGCAGCCTCACAGAGTATGCTAGGGATGTAGTAGCATTATGGGTGTTGCCATCACCTTCTCTAGTCATGTTTGGGTAAATGTGAACCAGTTGATCTGAAACAAAAAGATGATGTTTTGTAACGTCTATCTTTATGCACCGATCACTGTCTCATCAAGTGCTTTGTACACAACTACTAAACAATCTCTGTGTTTTGAAGCTGGTGGTTTGATTCTTCCCTTTGTCTTCTCCTTAATAAGTGTACCTTTTATAGCGTACATTTGTAACGTACACCATATGTTCTGTCATCTGAAGAGATCCTCCTGTATTTTACTCTTTATTATTTACCTCCCGCGAAGGCCCACAGTTATTTCCACTTCCTCCTTCGCATCCCTTCCCTCCCTTCAAAAATCTTGAAGGAATGAGAAAGGTGTTACCCATACCCACGGTCTTCAACCCCGTAATTTGATGATGAGCTTCATCCTGAAAATGCTTATATTGGCAACGTAGATATTTACATATAGAAATCTGAAACCTTGAAGTACTAAACCAAAATATTTTATTAGAGAAATAGTAATACTTAAAAGTGTGCTTGAAATTCCACGCTGAGGGCCCAGAGGAAACATCTTGATGAAAAAGGTAACTTAGAGGATTTTCTTACTGAAATTAGACTTCAGGAATAACTTTCTAGAGAGAAATTGGGAGAGCTGAAACAAAATGCAAGGCTTTCTGTATATCCTGTGTTTTGGAATCATTCCAGAGCTCTAAGTCCAAAAGATACTTTTTTTTCAGCTTTTTTTAAACTCTTTTAATGCTTCGGCTTGCCCCTCAGTTGGTTGGAGATGAGGATTGTGAATGGTTTGAATGTGTATTTTAGTTGATTTCTGTACTTCTAATTCTCTTCAACATTCGTTAGCTCGTGGCATTCAGCGTACCGCAGTAAGACAAGCTCATCGCAAATACGAGCCTGACTTCCATGATAAATATGGAAACCTGGTACTCCTTGGTGGAGCTGTAGTTTTTACAACTGTCTGGGGATATGTAAGTCGTCCTTTTTTCCCACTCTGTTGTGGCTATAGCTGTAAACTTGCAAGCTGTTAAGTTTCACAAGGGCTTACTTGTTTGAAATAACGTAGATGGACAGAATTTAGGAGCTTTTTACATAAGTGAATAGTAATGTGATAGAGATGAAAGTTGTGTTAGTTCATGTTTTGAGTTGTTACACAACTTTATGTGTCAGTCTATTGCTTGATTTTAAAATGTAGAATAAACACAAGTGTTCTCTGTTTTACTTGGGATTTCTAAGCTATACAGGTAGAGGTTTTAGCAGAAAAATTTATAGATGAAAATGACAGTATGGTGATGAGGTTTTACATTCCAGATTCTTCGTTCTAAAGCTGGATGTTTTGAAATAGAAAACTGAATTATTTAAATATTATTCAATATAAATATATTCCAGTTGCTTAATTAAAAGATGAATGAGATGTCATGTTCTAATACAAGAAATCTAAACTGAAAACAATAGGAATAGCCCTCTATCAGAAGGTTTCTTTGATTTCAGAGTTAATAATCTTGATTTTTATCCTCTTACAGGTGTTCACACAAGCTGGAATTGAGTGGGGCTTGTCACCTGTTGGCAGAATCACTCCAAAAGAATGGAGGGAGTAACAGCCTTTGCTTGTAATGAACTGGTCTAAACTTTCACTGAAAAAATGATCACATAATGGCATTTGTTCCCTAATTACCACTTGTACAGTGGTGTTACTGGTCTAATAAACATACCTAGAAACCTGTCTGGCTCTTCTAGGTTTCCTCTATGCTCAGTGTCTGCTGAAGTATAAGAAATAGTGTAAAAATTCAAAATAATTACATCCTATCCTAGGTAGTTCCAGTTGTTCCTGTAAAGGTCAGTCGTGGATAATGGACAAATCCAAAACATCTTCTAGTTGTGCACGTAGCCAGATGGGCGTGCTTAAACGAACCTGACGTGCGTTCCCGCTGCAGAGTTCGCATCGCTGTACCTCTGACTTCTGCTGCACGTCTAGCGACAAAGTTTGTATTTTCTCTCGAGATCTCCTTTTCTTCCACAGAAGTATTTTTGTGTCTTGAATCGCTCCGCCAATAAGCTGTTTCTCTCTGAGGCCTTTGAGAGTTGGGAAGAACTTTAGTGTTCCAGTCAGAGATGCTCCGCAGAAGTAGGCAGCATCCCAGTGCCGCTGCTCAGTGATGCTGAGAGAAACGTAACTTTTCTGATGACTTCTTGTGTAATCGAAAGTCGTTAGGAAATAGATTAGGGGTGGATGCAGACTCTGTAAACCTCTGAGCCAGTTTGAATCCCTGAAAAATACAAATATCCTGCGTTTTGATACAGCGGAGATGAAGGAAATGGCTGCCTTCACTCGCCTCAGAGATTTTAATGACCGGTTTCTTCCCGACTGCTACTTTTTTCCCGGGGCGAAGGTGAAAACGCCCGTCGGCCCAGCAGGCGCGACCCGGTGCGGTGTCCGTGCCCTCGGCCCGCCGGACCTCTTGGAGCGCCGGTTGCCTTTGCAGGGCTTTGGGCGGCAAGGCCTGAAGCCGCGGGTTACAGCCGGTGGCCTCGCACGGGGGAGCTGCCCCGCGGCACCGGGGCGCTCAGCTCGCTGTAAAGCAAGGCGCCGGTGCCTGCGGTACCGGTGGCCTGAGGAGGGGCGGGGGGGGGCCCCGGGGGGGGGGGGCGCCCGGCTCCCCCCGC